TTCTTCCATGCAGATACATTGTTGTTGTTACTGCCTTTGAACAGATGAGAAAACTGAGGCTTTACCAACAGGCCTCAAGGTTGTAAATAATTGATCAAGGACTAGAATCTAGGTCTGTCCAACTCCCAATTTTTTCTTTCCTATTCCATGGCCCTGCCTGTGACTTTGAAGCTTCTGCAGCACAAGGAAATGGTCCCAAAACACCGGACCTCAGAGCACAGGGAGACCTGAGGTCAGGAGGCCACCAGGGACAGACCTGGAGCCCTCCCTGCACCTGAGGGCGGCTGTCACAAATGGCTGCCTTCCTCCTCACCCCTAGGTGCGCATCCATCTGGCCAGCACTCACTGACTGCACTGCACACCTGGCCGAGTGCGAGGCTTCAGTAGACAGAGCAGAGGATGAGCCCAACAAGGTCTCTGCACTATGTCCCTCAAAGGCCAATCAGGGAAAACACACGATAGAGAAGTGAACAAATATATTTATGTATATATTTGTGGCTTTTGTTTATGCATTCAATAAATAATTATTGAGTACCAACTAGGCACTGGAGATATACTACAATGAACAACATAGAAACGGTCTCTGCCAATATGGAACTTACATTCTTGTGAGGGATGGGGGCCTCAAACAATAAGCAGACAAGCAGAAATATATCGTAATATAATATGACAAATGTATTTGGCCAAAACTTTCATATATGCTCTAAAGAATATAAATGAGATGCGGCCGTGGCTTCCTTCCTTTGATAGGGAAGTCCAGGAGACATTTAATGCCAGTCCCAAGAATAGAGAAGGATCCAGCTATTCAAAGAACGCAGGGAAAAGCATTCCGGGAATGGAGAAGAGTACATGCGAAGAAGGCCTTGAGTCAGGCCCGCTCCTAGGCATAATGCATGGATTATTTCATCACAACCACCCCACCAGGGAGGTGCAATTATTATCGTTAATGGATAATGTGGCTCAAGAGGAAGAGGGGCTCTCCTAACACCTACGTCCCTTAACTCCCTAATGTGGCAGAGCTGGGATTAGAACCAAGATTCACATTACCACCGGAGCTCATGCCTAGATCGTGATACTCAGTCCCTTTGTCCTTTCTCTAGGAAAGGCAGGCACCTGCTGAGGAGCGAAGAAATATTCTGCCCCTGCAACCTGAGCCTCAGGCACGGCCACAGGATCAGGACCACCCTGCAGGACCATTCTGTGTGAACAGTCACTCCCGGGTCATAGAGCCCGGTCCTGGATTTGAGCTGCGATCATCTTGTTACTTTCCATAGCCACTGAAGAATGCCATGGCTGGCTCTTCCTTCCCCATTCCTTGAGAGAGGAATCACAGAAGCTTGAGGACACATGGGAGAGGGGGTAGGGAAATAGGGAATAACCATACAATAATAATCGCAAAAATTTTTATGATGCTTACTGTTTGCCGGGCACTTCTCTAAAGGCTTTGAGTACACTGACTTGTTTAATCTTCAGAACAGCCTTTAACATCATCTCTATTTTACAGATGAGGAAACTGAGGTCCAGAGCATCTTAAAACTTACCCAAAGGTGATACAGTTAATAAGGGGCAGAGCTGGGATTTGAATCCAGGTGGCTGGCTGCTGAGTTTACTTATTTAAAAAACCATTTTATTGTAAAACAAGACAAACAGAAGAAACATACAGAACAAATGTACAACTCAGTGAATTATTACAAGACAAACCTCCCCGCCCCCCCCCCGCCAAATAGGTTAAGAAACAGAACTTGGCCTGACACCCCGGCTCTGTGCCCTCTCCCAGTCCCAGCCCCTCCCTCCCACTCTCTGAAAGCAACTGCTGTTTGGGCTTCTACAGGGATAATTGCCTTGTGTTTCTTTATGGTTTTTTTCACCCTAGACACTGTTTAGTCAGGCCCATTTTTTTCTAACTTGATTCTTTCGAACATTTTTTTCTCTCTTAAGTCTCTTTTAATCTACAAGTCCTCCCTCTACCTCTTGGTTTTTCTTGTAATTTATCTGTTGAAGAACTCGAGCCATTTGACCTGGGGGTTTCCCAGGCTGACTTCGCTAATGGAGTACAGTACCACTCGACCTGTTCCTCTGTCCTCTGAATTTCCTGCCAATTGCCCCCTGGCTCTTGAGGCGAGATCAGACTCAGGTTTGATCCTTTTGGCAAGACCCCACGGGTGGTGTTCTTCAATCAGGGGCACAGAATGTCTGTTTTCACGGTCTTTTGATCATTGCTACAGGCTGCCCTCAGCTGCCCTGTGATTTGCTCCACCTTCTGGACCCGCCTGCCCCGAAGGCAAGCCTGCTAGAGGCACCATGGTTTCTGATGCCATGGGCCTCGCTGCCACAAGAAGGCAGCCCCTCAGAGATCCCACCGAGCCTCTCCACACTCCTAGGCCTGAGGTGGGACCGGGACTGCCTCTCTGGTGAGCGTCACCTCTCTCCACATCTCTCTCCAGCCCAGGATGCCAGGCGGGTGGGCTTGCCTCGTTTCCCAAAGCGGCCACTCTCTTCTTTCCCCTGGGCCTTTGTTCATGCTGTTCCCTCAGCCAGAAACACTCTGCCCCTCACCTCCTCTAAGTACAGCTGAGCCTTCAGGCCCCAGGAAATCTGTCCCTTTCACCCCATCCCCACCCAGCCAGATTGGACTGGGTGCCTTTTACGTACCCCCGCTTCTCCTAGGCTGACCTTGGGGAGCAACCTAGTAAGCAGTACCACTACATTATGTTTGCCTGTTTTCTTATGTTTTCCCTCCCAGAGTCTGAGCTCCTTGAAGACAGGGGCCCTGGCACAGGACCTGACACATAATAGGTGCTCAGTAAACATCAGTTGAATGTGGGCATGAATGGGCAGGACTTTACAAGTCACTGGGATGCCAATCCAGGCTTAGGGTAAGTCCTTTCAGACAATGGGAGCTCTTCTGAGATGACACACCCCCACGAGGGAGGTGTTCAAGCTGCTGCGCGGTCCGGGTCGCAGAAAGAATTCCTGCCTGGGACAGGGCCCTTCTAGGAAAATGAGTCTCTGTCTTGGAAAGTAACAGAACCCTTTCTTCAAGCTTACTAGGCACCCCTAAATTTAAGACAAATTCAAGGCAAGGAGTTCTAGTTTCAGCCTGGGAGGAGGCAGGAGCCCACCCAGCCCCTGGACCTCCCCTTATCCTAAGCACGAGGGCTCCTCTGAACAGGGGCTTGGCTATATTGTCAAGTCACTTAATCAAAGCCACCAAGTCTGTTTTTTTAAGGGGCCATACTAAGGACAGAAGCACCCTACTTAACACCCTAACTCCACTCTCTCCGTATGGTGCCCCCAGGGGCTCAGCCTGTCGTCTAACGGAGATGCCCACAGAAGCCCTTTTTCCACAGGTGGCTCCCCGGCCCCCCCAAAACATTGCGTTTCTGACACAGTGGAGATGTGGGGCCTCCGGGCCGAACTAACCGGGCACGGGAGCCGCAGGGCTGCAGGCTGCCAGGGGCACGGAGCCAAGGGCTTAGTCTCAGAACTGGATTATTTGAGTGAGTGTGGAGCTCTCAGCCCTCCTGTCCACAGGGACATGGGGATTACATAGGCCTCTGGCCGGGGCCCACAGTCTTTCCCACACTCACTCCCTGCCAGGTCCAAGGACAGGGATTATCCCTGGGCCACACAGCAATGAGAGCACAGGATTGTCCACCCGCCTCACACTTCCAGCCCTTAGCCCTCGGCACCCCTCCGCTGCGGCTGCCTGGAAGCACACCTGCCTCCCACGTGTCTGGAATGTATAGCAGTGCTCCTCAAGTTGTGGCCCACAGACTGGGCTGCATCGGCAACCCCTGGGAGCTTGTTAGGGATGCAGAGTCACGGACCCCGCCCTAAACACGGCATCAGAATCACCAGCGCAGGGCCCCGATCTACGGCTTCGCCAACCCTCCAGGTGATTCTCCCACATGCTGGAATCTGAGAACCACTGGCTTGCAATACCTGGGTCCGTCCCACACCCCGTCTGATTATGCCCCACGCCTGTCAAAGATTCTGAGCAACTTCCACCCACAGACTTCTCCTTTGGACTCCTTCAACCCTTCACTTAGCTAAATTAATTATAATGATTATAATGGATTGTGTAATAATTGTGCCACTTGGCACACTTCCACTGCAGTTGTGCCAATAGCAGCCCCTGGAGGTGTGCCGTGCAATGCCCTGAGAGCACTCGCTGCGGGCTTATCAGCTTTATTATCCCCATATTACATTTGAGGAAACTGAGGTTCAGAGAGGGTACATGACTGGCCCAAAGTCACTCAGCAAATAAACCCAGAGCCTAACCACCCTCCTATCTGCTTCCTGCTCAGTAGGGAGGATGGCAGCTGTTTCTGCATCTGTCCCCTCACACACACTGAGATTTCCTTCGGGGCAAAAACCTTGTCATCACTTCCACAGGAAGGCCTCCCTGCTCTCCCCAGAGAAGGCCGGCTCTCTTTACTATGCCCTCCGGAAGGTCCCTTTTTCCTTAATAGTAGCATCACAATTTGTAATCATATAACAAGGTGATTATTTCATGTCTGATTCCCTGACCAATATGAAATGTCCAGTAAGACAGGATGTAGGGCAGACCCTGCTCGATGCTTACCCAATACCCATTCTTTTTCTTATACAGCAGGTCCTGGAATAATGTTTTGTTTGATGAGATGCTTAGGAACTTAGCTCTTGTTTATGTCAATTAGCCTGTGGTAAAATTGGTTTCACTGTATGTTGTTTTGCTTAAACATGAAGTGAGGACTTACTGTAGAACCTGACTTTATTTGTGGCAGCTGCACACCCAGCTAGATCACTACAACCTCCAGGCTCCCTTTCAGGTAAAGGTACCAGGTTCTGGCTTCTGAGGTCAGTGAGGGGGTGGCTGGCTATCTAATGGGTACTGAACAAATGCATGTTGAATGCAGGAATGTTTGACCAGTTCTGAGCATGCAGCTGGTACCCAAGAAACATGTCATCTAACTAGGTCCAAAAAGCAAAGATCCCTACGCTGTCTTGCTCTTGGAAATATTTTTATTGGTTCTGAGATAACAGGGCTGCGGCGAGCTGGGATGGGCACAGAGCTAAGGAGGGCAGCAAGAGGCTTTGCCCCAGGGCAGACATGCTATTGTGGGATCTGCTGGCGGGCTCCCTGGCCCTCCCAGCCAGCAGTGGCTGGGCACATGGCACTTGGCGCCTTGCATGACCTCTGCGGGCTTGGCACTGTGGCCTCCTTGTCGGCGGGCGCCTCCCTTTCCAGTTGCAGGAATCACGAGTCTTTCACAGTGCGGAGGGGTGGGGGTCCGGGGTGGGCACCTCCCCGGGGTGCAGGCAGGCCCCGTCCGCCAGTACGTCCTGGGCCCTCGGCAGCTACAGCGGGGTGAGGCGAGCTCCACTCCTCTTCTCCCGCTGGTGGGAGCTTGGCGGTCCTGGAGGGGCCCTTGGGCCTCAGCGGGACATCATCCGGACAAACTCTGGGAGGGCATAGGGGAGGGTGGGGGAAAGCAACGGTCAGGGCCCCACTCAGGACGCTGCCTCCAAATCTCCCTCCGATCTGCGTCCCTGTCTCCATGACCACTGCTCCTGACTCCATGCTGGCCCCCCACATGCTGGTGGCCTCTTCTAGTCCATCTTCTACACAGCAGCTAGCTCGGGCTCACTAAGCGGCATATCCGACCCCCTTCTTAAACCTCTCACAGACCCCCACAGACAGTGTCCCATATCCTGACCTGCCCTCAAGGCCTTCCCTCTTCTGGCTCTTGCTGACACCTCCAGACTCCTCTTTCCCCACTCGCCCCAGTCTCACGCTCCAACTACGTGGCTCTCCCTTGCAGGGCACCGTAGAGGCCACGGGCTCACTCTCACTCCTTTGCAGCTTGGCCCCTCGCCCTTCCCTTTTCCAGGTTAGACTTTCTAAAAGAGAAGGTTTAGGTTCACAGCAAAATTAAGCACAGAATACAGAGAGTTCCCATACACTGCCTACCTCCACACAGGCCCATCCTCCCCTACCATCAACAAATGTTACAATCAATGAACCGACACTGATATGTCATTATTGCTCCAAGTCCACTTTCCATGAGGACTCACCCTTGGTGGTGTCTACTCTACAGGTTTGAACAAATGCATGATGAATGCCATGTATCCACCATCATTGTCACACAAAGAAGAGCTTCACGGCCCTAAAAATCCTCTGTGCTCTGCCTACTCATCCTTCCTTCTCCGCACAGTCCCCCTCAAACCCTGGTCTTTGTACTGTCTCCATAGTTTTGCTTTTTCCAGAATGCCATATAGTTGGAATCATACAGTATGTAACCTTTTCAGATTGGCTTCTTTCACTTAGTGATATGAATTCAAGTTTCCTCCATGTCTTCTCATGGCTTGATAGCTCATCTCTTCTTAGCTCTAAATAATATTCCATTGTTGGATGGACCACAGTTTATTTATCCATTCATCTACTAAAGGACCTCTTGGTTACTTCCAGGTTTTGGCAATTATGAATAAAGCTGCTGTAAACATCCACGTGCAGGTTCTGTGGATAACTATTTCTTCTTTCTTTTTCACCTGGTAGCTCCTACTCATTTCTTAGGACTCTATTTATTTATAAGCTCCTCCAGAAAGCCTTCCCTAGCCCCTCCTCCAGATTGGTACAGGTGCTCCTCTGTACCCTCCAGCCCACTATGCTTCCCCCCAAACTGCATGAGGCTCCCTGCTGGCTTCTGTTTTCCTAGCCAGCCTTAGGCTCCTCGAGGCAGGGATCAGGTCTCAGCACACAGAGGCGTGTAACACATGCTGGTGGAGAAAATGGGGGGTGCTGTACTCTCAGGGAAGGGCGGTCATCTGTGAGGGGTACTTACCTGGACACAGGATGCCCTGAGATGTTCAGATCTGGGGGTAGCAAAGCCTTCTCTCCATCTAGCCACACTCTGCTCAACCTTGAAGAACAACTACTCCCCATAAAAGGCCTCCCAACCTTTGTGTTCTGGACACACTCACGGTCCGGCACGTATTTATCCAGTCTTTCTGCTTAGAACTCAGTACCTGGTGTACAGAGTCAATGTTTTACTGTGTTTTTTCCATGTGTCTCACAGTGTTGCAAATGGTGTCATGCACAGTGCTATGCGTGTAGCGGTTGAGATTCTAGACGTGGCTTTATGGCATAGCTCTGCTCATAGTCAGACAGTCCCGGGCAAGTTATGTTACTTCTCTGAGCCTCAGTTTCCCCATCTCATGAGGTAATAATAGTGAAACCTATAGACCATTGTGAGAGTTAAATGAGATAAAATATGTAAAGCTACTTAGTACAGTGACTGGTACATAATAAGTATACAATAAAGGGTAACTGTTATGATTATTACTGATTCCTTTAAAAAATCTTTCACAGAGCACAAGCTATGTGTTACGTACTGAGTTACATGGGAAATGCAGAGATAAAGAAAACAAGGTTCCTCTTCTGAAGAAGTTCAGAGTCAAGCACAGGGAACACTGTAAGTAGCACTAAGCGGACAGCGTGAAGAACAAGGGTGCTCCTGAGGTGCTGTGAGGCCCAGAAAAGAGGAGGTTCAATCTGGAGAACCAGGGAAGAAGGGCTGAAGGAAGTGTCCCATTGCTGGATCTTGAAGGATGAATAGACTTGAGCCCACATGAACAACAGAACAAAAGGCATCCTGATTAAAGGAACACTGTGTTCAAACAGGAGCCTAGCAAGTTCATGGACCACAAGGACTGTGGTTCGGCTGCAAGGCGCAGGGGAGTGACGGGATGGCAGGAGCGGCAGCTGGGCAGGCGAGCTGCAGTCAGCTCTTAGGGGCTGCCTAAGTGCCAGTGTGGGGGATGCGGCACCCAGAAAATACCTTCTGTGGAGGGACCCGGACAGACAGATGGATAGCGACAGATGGATGGATGTGCAGATGGATACTGATGGGAAAATGACTATACAGATAGGTGACTAGATCAATGGAAGCATGGGCCAAAATATAGGCAGATGGGTAGAGATGCATAAATGTACAAAGAAATGCAGAGACGTGCAGATGCATGGAGAGATGTACATGGGTAGATGGGTGTGTGGATGAATGTGTGGGTGAATGACCGGAGGATGAGTGGGGGCATGGGTGGGTAGATAAGTGCATGGGTGGGTAGATAAGTGCATGGGTGGGTAGATAAGTGCATGGGTAACGGTTCTATGAATAATTGTTTAGAGATGGATAAGTGGTTAAATAGGCACTTGGACAGATGAAGAGATGGATAGGTGGGTGGGTGGATAGATGATGAACAGGTTGAGAGACAGGGATGGACAGGGGGATGGATGGGTGGATGGACGGCTGGATACGGAGATGGGAGGCAGGTTGGAGTGGTGCATGGATGAGGGCTGGCAGGACGGAAGGGTAGGGGGTGGGAGGCTGGAGCGGTTTGGTGGTTGCATGATGGATATACGGCTGGAGGGCTCCATGGATGGCCACTTTCTCTCCCACTTTCAAGCCCCTCCTACCTTCGAAGTCTACTCGGCCATCCCCATTGAGGTCCACATCACGGATAATTTCCTCTATGTCTCGGTGTCCCACCTGATGACCCAGGAGCTTCCTCATGGCCTCTCGCAACTCACTGGTGCTTATCTCCCCATCACCGTTGGTGTCAAACTAAAGAGGGCAGGAAGGAGGGAGAGACAGCTACAACATGGAGCCTGTCAGAAGCAGATCCCCAGGCTGAGTTCCTTCTCCAAAGCCACTGTCCCTCCTTCCCCCAGAGAACTTTCTCTGTCCAAGCCCCTTCCCTGGCCTGGGATCCAGGGCTCAGTTTCCTTTTCAAGTTGCCATCTTGGGGTTGGGATTCTAACAAGCCCCCCACACCCATCCTGTCCACTGCCCATCACTCACCTCTCGGAAGGCATCTCGCAGTTCTTTAACTCCAATCATATCGGCCGTCTCCGCCAGGAGTTTAGGTCCCATTAGCTCCACAAAGTCATCAAAATCCACATGGCCACCCACTGGAGACAGAGGAAAGAGCTAGACCACCCATCTAACTATTCCCTACCTCCAGTCAGGCAATGAAGAGCACCAACCCCTCTTTGACCTGCCCAGAGCCAGGCCCAAGGTTTAACCAAAGGCCACATGACAGCAGAGAAGTGACCACGGACAGGTGGTTTTCAAAGAATGGCTCAGGGAGGGGGCCCGGGAAGGAAATGCCCCATGGAGGGACTCACGGTTCATGTTGATCTGCTGGGACAGCTCAATAAGCTCCATCTCGGTGGGCATGTAGCCCATGGTGCGCATACAGTTGCCCAGGTCCCGGCAGTTGATATAGCCGTCCTTGTCCTTGTCAAATTCTCTGAAGGCCTCTCGGAGCTCTGGGGAAGGGAACAAAGGTGGATGTGGCTGGGGGTGGGACCCGCAGCACCTCTGGTGCAAAGGCAGCCACAGGGCCCTCTGGCTTGGGGCTGCCCCCGGCTGTGCACTCCTCTGAGCACTGGCTCCATGAGGATGCCTGGCTGTCAGACCCTGCCTCCGCAGGCCAAGGTGTCTCTGCCCCTCTTCCCACCCATCTCTCTTCCCTCAGCTTCCACGACAGCTGAGTAACCCTTTCCCCTAAAGCGCCAGCTCTTACCTTCAATCTCCTCTGGCCGCAGTGACCTGTCCTGAAACAAAAAACATGTCCCGTTACCAGCTGCAAGGGGCCCAGAGTCACAAAATGCCCAGTCTGAAGGCCATGCAAGTGAGTGGCAGCAGGCACCGGGTGGAGGTGGCAGGGATGCAGCAGAGGCATGCCTGGACCATGTCCTTGAGGGGAAAATGTGCACCCCCACACCTTCCATAGTCATGGGGCGCCCAGGGCCCCAAGGGCCCCATCGCGCCAGGGTACAGAACCCATGCGCCCAGCTCCTTGTGCCAGACACAAGAGTATGTAGAGAACAGAGCTTGTCCTGAGGCAAAAACCTGCAAATGAAACAGGGTCTGCGGGAGGTCGCAACAAAAAGGAGGCCTGCAAGGTAATGGGAAGAGAGGGGCTGGAGGGGAGAGAAGGCAGGGCCAAGACAGGCAGCCCGAGAGGAAGATGGGGAGGAGGACCCGAGGCTGTGGAGGCAAGAGGAGGGCTGTGCCCTGCTGCTTGGGCACTGCTCCACCTTCTCCAGTTTAATCCACATCCCATACCTTGCCCCATCATAGGGCACAGCATAGGATCCTGGGAGCTGCCAGTGCCTCTGGCTGCCCCCAGGGTCCAAAGCCACATCTAAAGCCACATGCAGTGCCCAGGCTTCCTTGGGGAGTCAAGGAAGCCCTGGGTCTCGGCACCATAACAAATGGCAGAGAAGTCTCTGAAGAGCAGACCTGCAGGATGCAGGGGCAGCTCCAGCTGGTGAGGGGCCAGCGGTCCCTGGAGGGACAAAACTGGCATGAAATGGATGCAGCTGCCCAGCTGGACCTGCTTAGTAAGCTCCCAAACTGGTCCGCAGGGCTCCTCCTCCCCAGTGATGCAACTCCCTGCCTTTGGGCAGGGAGAGCATGGGGCAGGTGTGCCTGCCCTGAGGAAGTGCACGCCAGGTATGGGCACACCTGCCACAGAGACACGCAGGTGTGCCACCGTGAGCATGAGACATCTCAGCTGTGCACACAGGCTGTTCCAGCCAAAAGGGTCAGAGTGGATACAGACGGTTGCTGCCTACTCACTACAAACTGGCCCCAGAGCAAAGGACCCAGCTCTGGAAAATCTGAGAATCTTCTAGAAAGGGGCTACTAAGCAACATCTTGTGGGACAAGCAGGTTCACAAGGACCTGGTGCTCAGAAGGGGCTCTCAGTGGCAGGACAGTGTTGAGTGCGTGAGTGTGCTTGGAATGAGCAGGCTGCAAGCCTCAGGCCCTGCAGGAGGCATTTCCGGCTGAAGGCAGGCTTCATCGAAGCTGTGCATCTCTGTAAGATGGCTGTGTGGACTTCCACTTAAAAAGCCTGTCACGGTGACAGTGTGTGGGTTGCCACTCCATCACCCACCTAACCCTACCCCATCACCCACTAGCTGTTCTAAGTCAGACTTGAATCTTGAGAAACCCAGAAAGATGCTTTGCGCAATGCCCAAGCCCCCAGTAAGTAAAAGTGAGCGAGTGACGCAGACGTGCCCGTGCACGCATGTGCAGGGTGTACTCGCTAGGACAAGTGGCTTAGACATAACAGGTCCTTTCCACTGTTCAGGCTCAAGCAGCCCCCTGATTCTCCAGGACCCAGCTCTGAAGAACTGGAGAGGAATGAGGTGCTGCTGACCACCACTGCAGCTGACCTCCCCCACACATCCTGTGTAGACGGAGTCAGGGAGCAGGAAAGCCAGGTATCCCTTTGTAGTGGTCTGTGGTCTGGCTGAGTCCTGGTGGCTGGTGCTTGCGTCACACACTCTGCTGTGCAGAGAGGCTCTGTGTGTGCTGTGCCCTGGAGCAGAGCCGGAGATGCCCCCCCATGTGGCAGGGGGACCATGAGCAACCTGGGGGGAGTCAGGTGGACATAAACACACGCATGGCTCCTTTCTCCCCAGTGGAAGTGGTCAGGGAGGAGAGCTTGGCCTCTGGAGTCAGACAGACTCGAGTGCAAAGATCAGATCTGCTGCTTCCTAGCTACAGGCAAGTCCCTTCTGTGACCCACAGGCTCCTCTTGTGTAAATGAGTTTATCACCTGGACCCAACTTACAGAGCCTTTGTGAACATATCATGAAACAAGATACGTAAAGTGCCTAGCATATGGCATTCAACATGTGGAACCTACAAACGTGTCTATCTGTGACACCATCATTGTTCCCCTTCTCCCTGTGGCTGTTCAGATACCTGAAGGACGCTAGCCAATACAGTGGCCACATGTAGCTATTTAAATTTGAATGGGAATTAAACAGAATTAATAATTCAGTTGCTCAGTTGCACTAGTCATATGTCCAGTGCTCAAAAGCCGTATGTAGCTAGTGGCTCTTGTATTGAACAGTGCAGATTATAGAATGTTTCCATCATGGTAGAAAGTTCTACTGGGCAGTGCTGTGCACTCAGTACTGCTGTTCAGAGCACAGGAGGCCCTTAGTCAGACTCTCCAAGTCCGAATCCTACCTCCATCACCCACAAGCAGTTACCTTGAGCAGGTTACTTCTCCAATTCAGTTTCCTCATCTGTAAAATGAGATAATAGTACCTACCTCTTAGAGTTGCTCTGAGTCTTAAATGAGGAAATGCACCAAAGCTCTTAGCACAGTGCATGGCACATAGTAGTAAGTGCTCAAAAAAAATATTCCCCAAATAATGCTAGCTGCCGTCAGTATTTCCTGCTGATGGAGGTAGACTCACCAGCGCTTTGCAGCCATGAGCGGCGAACTTTAGGAGTCAGATTCACAGGTCGAGAGTTTGAGGTGTGCCTGCTGGGGGACGCGTGCTTCTGTGTACAGAGCCCCTCTTCTCCCCAGCACCTCCTCATACCCCGTGAAGCCAAGTCGAGTGTGGCTCCACTGGGGCGAACTTACGTACAGGCTGCCTGTTCTCAGCGAAGCCCTTGCGCAGGAAAATGCAGGCAGGGCCCAGCAGGTTGTGCATGACGGCGCAGTTCTGGGCCAGCGTCAGGAGCGGTCCGGGGAGCTCGCCGCTAGCCGCCAGCCCCTCCTCGCTCGTCTGCACCACCCTGTAGCTGGTCGTCTCCTCCTGGCGCATCTTCAGCCAGCACCAAGCAAATACAAAAGAGAGGCAGGCGTCACCTCCCTGCCCACCAGGGCGCGCCTGGCCCCAGCCTGGCTCTTGGTCCTAGAAGGGGCTCTCCTCAAGAGTAGTCCCTTGAGAGTCCAACAGTGGGGTTCAGAGAGCCCTCAGGATGCGCAAGGGCAGGCGTCACACTGGTCCAACAGATGGAGTCTCCGATCCTTGACTGAAACAGATGTTCCAGGGAGAGGTGGGTGAGGTACCCACCATGTGGCTCACGTGCATGCACACACACACAAACATGACACATACATGTGCAGAGAATCACACTCGTGTGCATGCACAGGCTCAGAAAGAAAAGCAGGCAGTGGGAGGCTTCTGTTCCAACCAATGAGAAGTTGTCACTGAGAGAAAAATGGAATAATGTCCTTTTCCAGCACTGTCCCAGCATCCCAGTGCCATCCCCAGGGCTAAGTTCCCAAACTGACTTCTGGTTCTACCCCCACTGGATCCCCACTGGATCCCTACTGGATCCCCACCGAGAGGCAGTGAGGACAACCAGAGCGGGCAACACAGGGAGCAGCCTCAGCTGGTCCGCCAGACTGGAGGTTGCAAACACAGGGGCCACAGCTAACAGGAATGAAGCAGGCGGGCCTAAGAGGTGGGAGTCTGGGGCTAAATGGAGGCTGCATGGCTCCTCTGAAGGAACAGCACTAGGTAACTCCAGCCCAAAGTCACCAGACATTCTGGTGGGTGACACAAAGCATGTCTGTGGGTCGGATTCCACCCAGTTTGCGGCCTCAGGACGAGACACTCTTTTGCCGGCAAGTCCCCCTTCCCCCCTCCCGCCATCCCTGGCTCCCTGCCTGGCCCAGCCTGCTGACCTCTGGAGGCTGAGGCACGGGCCCTCTCTGCTTACCGAATATAGCTGTGCTCCCAGGCCCGGGCCAACCCACCCTCCTTCCTGACGGTTCCCATGCAGCTATAAAAAGTCAGCACTGCCCACAGACCGTCCCCCCAAGGACAACAGCAGCATCCAGACACAACATTCTATTCCACCCCGGCCTCCCCAGGATGCCCAGGGTCCCCAAGAGTCCGGAGCTGCATACCCCACCCTCTCATCTCACTGCACTCTTCTTCCTGCCAGGCTCCTCTAGCTCCAAGAAGTTCAAACCCACGAGAAGAACTCAACCTAGGGGCAGCCTGTCCTCCCATTCTGGGAAGCGGAATCACCTGCCCCCTCTCACCTTGCCCTCTCATGTGTCTTCTCCCCAAAGCCCTACACTGTGGGGGCAACGGACTAGACTCCCCTTCACCTTCCTAAGCCTCTTCTAGGCCTAGAGAGGGAGAAACAGAGTTCTGGTTTCTCAAAGGGGGAGCAGCAACTCAAAGTCAAGGTGAAGGACCTTAGTCCGAGGCCCAAGTGCAGTGAGTGCATTTAGCTACTCTCGGAACTTAAGGGATGCCAGGCAGATGAATGGCCATTCTGATTTGAAGCCAAATGAGGTTCAGAGCCTCAGCCGCACTCACACAGCCTTCCAGTTCATAGCTGCAGTGAGGGCAGAGTCAGAGGGACCTTCCCGACTGGAGGCTGGCTCCAGGGGAGCCTGGGACCACACACAGCAGCTTAGTCCCAGGACACAGTCTCGGCAGGTGTGTGTGGAGAGGCAGCCTTGTAGCGCTAGCTGACTCGCCCCACGCTTGGCCCTGAGCGGGCACAGCCCAGGAAGGAAGCAGCAGCAGGCGATACAGAGCTCTGAGAGGCCATTTTGTACATTGGCTTTGGACTCAATCAGTCTTGGGACAATTCTGGCTCTGCCACTTGCTTGCTTTGTGACCTTGGGCAGGTCACTTCACCTGTCTCTGCTCTAGCTTCCTCCTTTATGCAACGGGGATAATCATGGCGACGCACAGGATTCCTACGAGAAATGAGCTAGTGCCTAGAGCATGGTAAAAGCGGAATAAATGGAGTTGCCATGGTGACGACAATGACGATGACTAGGATGATGACGATGATGGTAACAGTGATGTAACTTAAGAGATGCTGGGTGCCAGAAGGCATTTACTTCTGGCTCCGGAGGAAGCGGGGGACTATTTGCCACTCAGGAAAGACATGAGAAGGATGGAGAAGACTTTGCTCCCACGAAGAATGAGCCCGTGGTGGCTGGGGAATTTCCACTGTGTTCCTTGATCATGATCCTGCCTGGCACCAAGGTGCCCCAGGAAGCTGCCGTTCTTCCCTGGCCAGTGATGGCGACTGACAGCCTGGTCTTGCTCTCCCAGGGCCTGGAGCGAGCCACCTCTCCCCATGACCAGTTCCCCACGGCCACACAGGATGCCAAGTGGGCAGTGGCCCACAGGCGGCCCAGATCTCCTGGCACCAAGGGGACATCTCCTGAGTGTGGCATAGCAACAGGAGGGCCCAGCATGCCTCATGACCTAACCACTTTCTAACAACAGAAGCTGGCCAAGATCAGGCAGGTCCAAGCTCCCTCTCACTGCAAGTGTTCACGGAGAAGCTGAATGAGAGCGTTGGTGGGGTAGGAGAGGGGGCTGCTGTCATCAGTGGGAATTGGACCAGGTGACATGTAAGGTCAGACTCCAGAATCTATGAATAACATTTTTGACAGCAGGAAGAAGAGAGAGGCAAAAATAAAAATGAAATATCAGCTCTGGATTCACACAGGCCAGTATTTAAATCCCAGCTCGGTGTCCAGTTGGCTGAGTGACCTTAGGAAAGTTCTTATTTCAGAGTCCAGCTCCTTTCTCTCTAAAACAGCCAAGAGAACTATTTGGTGGAAAAGAGAAAATGAGGTAACAGAAGTTGGGTGCATTGTAAATATTCATGAAAAAGCAATTGTTATTTTTATTAAAAACATGATATTGAATACAATAAGTTTTATTGCAATCTTTAACCTTACTCCATGGAATCAAAACCTCTCCTCTTTTCCTTTTTTCCTCCATCGGCCTTCTCAGAAAACCAAGTGGCAAATTATGATTATGATGATACTACTACTAGCTAACATTTGTTGAGACTATATTCCAGGCAGTGTGCAGAACACTTTATTTAGTTCTCACAATCACTTTACCAGGTAGATATTAGTATTTCCACTTGATGGGCAAAAATACTGAGGCCCAGAGATACCAGGTAACTTGCCCAAGGTTGCACAGCTGGAAAGAGGAGACCTAAGAAGTCTGATTCTTAAGCCCCCTGCTGTGTAAGGAAAAATGGGACAATTGTTGTTCTTAAATTCACCTCTTCAAGCTCTGGACAGAAACAGGCAAAAAGCCACTCTCTGGTCCTCTAAAGAATTTCAAATCAATTTTATTTCTCAGCAACAGCATGGAGGCCACTTCCGGTACAAAAGGACCCCCCTACCCCCACCTAAGAAGATGACAGATGATGGGAGGAGGGTGCACAGAAGAAACAGTCAACCCTCAGAAGGATCGAAGGAACAGCAAAGATTAAAAGGAATTCGATGTGAGCAGCTTAGCTGAATGAGGAAGACGACGTGCAGCAGAAAAGCCTGAAATGTCCTACATTGAGAGGCTGTCAAACTGACCGAGGAGGTAGGATGGGGTTGGGGGCAGAGGTGTCATTAGCTAACCTGAGACCTTGGGTAAGTCACTTAACATGAGTGGCAATTAAGTTCCTTGTCTGGGAAAAGAAAGTACTGCAGGAAAACATCCTTGTCATTCCTTCTTCCTTTAAATAATGCCTATGAGTTTCTTCTATGGCCTGACTACAGAGGGCTGGAAATACAGGTAGAATCCACTTGAAGCAAGACCCTATATATGCAAGCCCAGACTTGCATAAAAGATACTTTGGAGGTGATTATTTGCTTCCCAAAAGGAATTCTTGCACAAAGAAATTATCCTGGTATACAGCACTAAATCCACTACAGAAGGTAACACACAGACACCTTTGCTCAACATCCTATTTCTCAATGGAAACAATTCTGGTCCCCAAACCAGTCTGGTCCTAGTTGAGATTCTCTGACCTGACTCAAGAATTATCGAGGGTAAAAGAGGATACCCTGCTTGGTTCCTTTCAGTGGCAACAGGATCTACCAAAAAACCCACAACTCTGAAGGCTTAGAGACCACCAGAGAGGGTCAGAAACCCTCATGGGAGGCGAATAAGCCCCAGGCCCTACTGCTGAGAAGGAGCCTTAGGAGCAGTGAGGTCAAAGCTCAGCTCAAACTCCCTTCCAATCCTGCCAGCTTCGAGGGGTCTGTCCACTCTGACATCCTAAGGATCCACACTCTCCATTTTACATCCCAGGAGCTACATGGTTGGTTCTTTCCTAAATTTTGTGCAAATTCCCAAACACAGCCCCCATGCAGCTCCACGCCCCAACTTCAGCTCCGAGTCTGGGACATAGAAAAGTGTGGTAGGAGGTAGTCCAGAGGCTACAACAGGAAAGCAGCTCTAGACAGAACCCGCGGGAAGGGTGCCTCAGATGCCCACCCCTCCGTGCCCAGTCTCTGGGACAGATGGAAAGATGCTGGAATCCCCCACCCCGGGTCTTGGGAATCCAGAAACATACCTTCCTTGAGAGATTTCTCAGTGGAGACTTGACACAGTTGCCCATCCTAAGCTGAGGCAGCCCCTCTCAGGGTACCCGGGTCCATGAAGGAGGCTCCGGGGGGCTGAGAGACCTTAGTCCCAGTCACCGCCAACCCCAGCCTCCCTCTGCCTGCGACGCTCTTCCTCCAGGACTGATCTGAGCCCGCTCTCTCGCGCGCGTGCTCGCTCACTCGTCTGCCTGCTCCTCCTGATTTTTTTTTTTTTTTTTTTTGGTGGATTGTATGTGTGTTTGTGTATGTGGGTTTAACTTTCTAGGCACTTTCTTAAGGAGATGAAGGCAGGAGGGGAGCATGCAGGGCACAGAGAAAATCAGCCAGAGGGCTGACGGCAGAGGGCAGAGGAGCCGGGAGCGGGCTGCTGGATCATCTCCATCAGATTAGCGCTCGGTTCTCTCCGGTTCATTCCCCCTCCCTCAGCCCCTCCTC